AAATTTTTGAAAATAATTGAATTTCGGAAAAGAATTTTATTATTTAGAAAGATAATTGAAATTTTGATAAGAATTTTTAAAAATTTTTTATCATTATTAAATTTTTGCAAAGAATTTTATTACTTTTGAAAATAATTGAATTTTTGTCATTATTTGTAATTTTTCAAAAATTCTCCAAATTATATTGTTAAATTTATGAACTTTTATTGCTTTTTCAATCAAATTACGGACTTTACGAACCTTTTTTTTTAAGAAAACAGACTTTTACGAACTTTAAACAAATTTACGGACGTTCACAGAATTTACAGAAATTTTCAAACTTTGCCGCTATTACGGCCCGGTAAAAATTTTTACTCAAGAGAAAAACTAAAACTGTTTAAGACTTTAGCCAGACTTTAATAAGAAAAAAAAAAATTTTTAAATTCTACTTTTGTTGAAGTTCTAAGGACATTTTTTAGACAGTTTTTCCAAGATTTGAAGTAGAAAAACTACTACTACGTCAGACAGAGCAATGACGAGGAAAAACGTTTATAGAAGTATTTGCAGTAGAGAAACAGTTGTTTCGTCAGACAGGGCAAATATAAGACGTTTAAATACACAGAAATAGATTTAAAAACCACTGAGAATATCAGTTAACAATGATAAAAAAATAAATATTAAAAAAAAAATACAAGAAGACTAAATTAATAAAAAAAAAGTAAGTTTCAAAGAAAACTAATAAAATTTATATGAAAATATTATATCTTGCGAAATGAATTTTTTTTTCAACTAAAAATACTTCCTGTAGAATGTTATTAAAATGTTACCATAGAAACTTGGTATTTTGAAATGAATAGATATTTTGCATTTTACGTCAAAAATGTTATAAATTTTATAAATTCCTATCAAGGAATTTCTTGAAAGGAAAACATTTTTTTTTTTTTGCGTGAATCTATGTGCAGTGTGAGCAACGTCATGAATGTAATGCGCGTCCAATTGAAAAACGATGTTTGATGATGTTTTGATAACGCTGATAGAACAAGATATATGGACATTGTAATTATTTCCTATTACAAACATTATTGCCGTTGAAAATTTTTAAATTTATTTCATTTGGTCAATTATTTAGAATTAGTTACTAAAATAGGAATATGAAGCAAGTTATTCAGACAAAGCAATAATTATTACTAATTTTTAATTAATTTAATTTAATTATTACTAATTACAAAATTTAATTAGTATTTACTAATAATTGGTAATATTGTAATAATTGAAAAGGGAAAAAGACATTAATGAAAACTACTAACAATTAGGAAAGTTTTATTATTTTTATAGAATTTTACTAATTCAGATTTAGAAAGTAATTACTATTTATTTCACTAGTAATAGTAATTATTGATAGTAATTAGTAATAGTAATTATTGATAGTAATTAGTAATAGTAATTATTGATGGTAATTAGTAATAGTAATTATTGATAGTAATTAGTAATAGTAATTATTGATAGTAATTAGTAATAGTAATTGTTGATAGTAATTAGTAATAGTAATTAATAATAGTAATTAGTAATAGTAATTAATAATAGTAATTAGTAATAGTAATTTGTAATAGTAATTAGTAATAGTAATTAGTAATAGTAATTATTGATAGTAATTAGTAATAGTAATTGTTGATAGTAATTAGTAATAGTAATTAATAATAGTAATTAGTAATAGTAATTAATAATAGTAATTAGTAATAGTAATTTGTAATAGTAATTAGTAATAGTAATTCGTAATAGTAGCATTATTTACTAATATAATTAGCTCAATAAAAAATTAGTTCTCTTGAAAGTAAAATTCACTTCCCTCGTTTCAAGAAAAATTCTGCAAGATAAAAGATAAAAAATTTCATGGCGATACCAAAAGTAATAATATTCTTTTTTGTTTACTTGCGCGACCAAATTAGAATATTGGTTTATAAATTAAGAGAAATAGCTTATTTATTTGTTTAGTGAAACATGAAGTTGGTCCAGTCAAAATTAATAGTCGGTTTCGATTAAGTCATTAGGAACCTGTTGCTCAGAATGAATTATCAATTAGTGGTTCTTAACGCTTGGCGCACTAATTGCCTAAGCATCTGCCACTTGAATAATCGGCTGCTGATTGGACAAGAATTTCTTTAATTCGCATATTCTCCCCGCAGCTATTTCACGTTTCCTTTCAATTAATTCCCATCGGTATTCATAAGAAACCTCGAAAACACGAAATTTAAATTTATAAAAATAGTAATAACTTTTCAAATAAACGGGTTCGTTTCTGTTTATGTAGATTTGCGGTATGTAGCGTATTTTCTTAATTATATGCTAATAGGTATCAATAACTGTTATTGTAATTATTTTTCAAGTGATAATAATTATAAACATATCAGAAAATTAAACTCAATTATTATCTAAAATTTTAATTGAAATTCGTTTTCAAATCAAATTTTATTAGAAAATTCTACTAGAATTCAATTATTTAATTATAGAAAAATAAATAATATATTAAACAATTGAATGTTTTTTAAAATTAAATTCTCATAAAGAATTTTATCATCATATTTTTAAATAATTGAATTCTTTCGACAATTTTTAATAAAATTTTAAAGAATAATTACATTTTCCGAGAAATTCGATTAAAATTGAATTAAAAACAATTGAATTTCTGAAATAATTTGTAACTTCTGCAAAATTAAATTTTTCTTAGTGTTAACTAACATTTTTTTTATAAATCCATTATTTTTAATAATTTTTTAAATAGATTTTTGAGAATTTTAAAATTCATTTCTTTTTAACTGAAATTTATTTTTAAATCAATTTTTATTAGAACATTCTATTAGAATTCAATTATTTAAATACAAAAAAATAATTTTTTGAATATTTGAATGTTTCTTAACATTTGTATTATAATAAAGAATTTTGTCAATAAATTTTTAAATAATTGAATTTGTTTGACGAATTTTAATAAAATTTTCAAGAATAATTTCATTTTTCGAGAAATTAGATTAAAATTTTATTAAAATAATTGGAATTTTGCCAAGAATTTTATTATTTATGAAAATAATTGAATGTGAAAAATTTGATTGAATTGCGAAAAGTTTTTGAAAATAATTGAAATTTTGCGAAGAATTTTATTCAAATTTTGGAAAATAATTGAATTTTGGAGAAAAATTTTATTATTTATAAAGATAATTAAAATTTTGACTAGTATTTTTTTTTAATTTTTTAACATAATTGAACTTCGATGAAAAAATTTAATTACTTTTAAAAATAATTGAATTCTTGAGACGGATTTTAATAATATTTATTTTTAAATAATTGAATTCTTTTGTGAAATTTTCTGGAAATAGTAGATTTTAAAAACAATTGAATTTTAATAAATTATTTAACTTAATTAAATTTCTACAAAGAATTTTATTAAAATTATTTTGGAAAAAAGTGAATTGTTAAAAAAAATTTCATTAAAATTTTTGAAAATAATTTTATTCTTTCAAGAAATGTAATTAAAAATGTATTGACAATAATACTTAAATTTCAAAAAAATAAATTATAGGAAAGCTTTTTAAAATATTTGGATTTCTTTGGTGAATTTAAATAAAATTTTTAAGAATAATTACATTTTTCGAAAAATTTCATTAAAATTGTATTAAAATTTAAAAATAATTGAAATTCTGCGATGAGTTTTATTTTTTTTCAGAAAATAATTAAAAACTTATAAAGAATTTGATTATTAATGAAAATAATTGAATCACTGTGAAAAATTTGATTATTTATCAAAATAATTGAATTATTGCGAAGAAATTTATAAAAAAGCACAATAACTTTAGAGAACAATAATTTTTTTTAAAAATAATTTAATTAAATTGCGAAGAAATTTATAAATAATTGAATTTTTGTAAAATTTTTATTATTTTATTGGCATTCATTAAATGTTTGCGTAGAATTTTATTGAAACTTTTTTAAGGAATTGAATTCTTTTGGAAAATTTTATTAAAATAATACATTTTTTGAAAATCATTAAATTGCGGAATATTTTTGAAAAGAATTGAAATTTTGCCAAGAATTTTATTAAAATTTTTTGAAATTAATTGAATTTCGGAGAAGAATTTTATTATTTATAAAAATAATTGAAATTTTGACGAAAATTTAAAAACACTTTTTAAACATAATTGAATTTCTGTAAAGAATTTAATTACTTAGGAAAATAATTGAATTTCTGCAATGATTTGTAATTTCTCTAAAATCTCCCAAATTATATTGTCCAATTTACGAACTTTTTGTTGTTTTTAATCAAATTACGGATTTTACGGACCTTTTTTTTTTTTAAAAAAAGGACTTTTGCAGACTTGAAACAAATTTACGGACCTAGTTCGAAGTCTTTAGTAACCATATAATAATAAAATGTTAAAAAATTATTTCACGAAATTTATATTCTTTCTAATTAAAAATCACTAAAATTTAGTAGAATTCGTTTAGAAATTCTATAGAATGATTCTAGTGAAATTTTATAGAACTTTTTCAGCTGGATAACTATAATTAAAATTCAAAGGTAGAAATTAATTTAAATTTAATTAAAATTAAAATTCAAAGGTAGAAGTTAATTTAAATTTAATTGTAATTAAAATTCAAAGGTAGAAGTTAATTTAAATTTAATTGTAATTAAAATTCAAAGGTAGAAGTTAATTTTAATTTAATTCTAATTAAAATTATTATCCAGTAGTAAGTAAGTAAGTAAGTAAGTAGATAGAAAAATAAGTTTAATTTTGTCCTAGAGTTATTATTTGTATTCCGTACCTTTAGGACGAGAATTTTTTTTTTTGTTTTTTTTCTTTATTTTATTTTGAGTCAGCGAAGCATTGTAAAAAAGGTACAAAATGTCTTTTCAACACTCTCGACAATTCTTTACGAGAGCCTTCGATGTTGAACATGTGACCAACGCTACTTAATATCCCACAACGGAAGCGACGAAGCTTCTCTAATTTCCAACTCTTACGTGTTTTCAGGTGTCAGTCTACAAAACTGCACGACAGGACCGTTCCCAACGGGAAACAACAGCAGCAGTGCTTCACGACAACGACTACTCGAACTCTCACATGGATTAGGTGCCTTGAGGCATTACAATGATCTCGCAAATCATGTACTGTCATTAAATCAACAGGGTGCTGTTGTCACAAAATTACTAGGTGAGTCATTTTTATGTGTATTTTTAAATCTAGGAATATAAATAAGACTTTTTTTTATAATCTATTTAGAGAAATAATAAATTTATCGACTCAATTTTATTGCACAAAAACATTTCCCGAAATTGAAAAAACTTATCAGTTCCTTGTCTAACTTTTACACAGAGCTGAAAATAATTTTCCGAAAAATTTAATAATAGTTTTTGAATAATTTTACAAACTTATAATTTTTTTTCAACTAGACACTAGAGATACGGATTAAACCATAGTTATAAATCTTTGTTTTATGCAAAATAGGCCTATGAAAACCAGCTGAAATCTATGTTGAAGCCCTATTTATTTAAATAGTGAAACAAAGTAAAAAATGTTATTTCTCCAAGTACACAATTCTAATCTATAATTACAATGTTTCACAATTTTTCATTAGACATTGTTAATGATTTTCAGGTATTTTTTCTTTGAATATCAAATTAAGATATTTGTTATAGTTATAATTCTATTTTGTACAAGTCAGTAATGACAGATGAAAGTTGAACCGGTTTAAAGTGACTTTTATTAGTTCGCACCTTCAAAAGTTTCACGTGAATGTTTAATCGCCCGTTAACTGCACATAAAGTCTTAACATGTAAACTGTAAACTTTCAACGCTCACATGATAAATTGACTCTTTCCTAGCAGTCCTTGAAGGCAAATATTACTTTGTTTTCTTATACCTTAGCATACGATATCCTTAAAAGTTTAAACTGTGTCGTTATTTCCAATATTTTTTTGTTTATTAGATATTTTTCTAACAAAAGATATATTTTTTTTAGTCTAGATAGAATTTTGAGTTCGCTAGTTAGTAGTTTTTGATCACAGTCAAAATATGGAAAGTTTGTGGGTTTAAAATATTTTTGTCGTTCGACACGGTTTCCTAAATTGTGACCATAGATTGCTATGAAACAAATTTGCTATGACGTAACTTAAAGGCCCCTATGGGGGCCGTTAGAAACTACGACCAGACCCCCAAGTCTCACTTAGAACCATACAGACCTATGTTGTCAAAAAAAAATTAAAAATTTTACCACGCGCAATTTTGTACAAACTATACTATGAAAAAAGAAATTACAATTTATTTACCCAACGCTAATCAGTGTGAAATATTGTATATTATTACAGACATTGAAAAAGTGCGTCTCATTTACTGTTTTTTTTTTTTTTAAAACGCTAATTATAATTACTAAGGTGGTTATGAGCTTCACTCATCGTTTATATGTCTCAATTTCAGCGCGCATTTCTTTCTTTCGGCAAAACAAAGTCATCCTGACGAGTCTTAATTTCTTGTCGAGACTAACGAGCGCATGAAGAGTGAACCTTTACATTTTTATAAGGCTCATAATGCAATGCGTTCCCTATAATTTTCCTAGAGTTGCTCTTGAATTTTGTTTCTTTTGTATTTTCCACATACCCTTTCAAGTAAAGAGTAATCTTTTCTTTAAAATATATAAGTGTTAAGTGCGCAATTTTATATACATGAGGAGCATAAACATACATATAAACTTCTTGTTCTTCTCAATGATTGACCGGCGCGCAGTCAAAAACGATATTCATTGAAGCCGCTTGTAAAATTCAAAATGCTTTTGTTAACTCTTACACCATATATCATTTTACAGTTGTTGAGTTAAAATCCGACGATTTGCGGAATGTAATTTTGAGAAAACAAAACTTTCCCTATTTTATGTATTGTGACAGTGCGATAGTGCATGTACAATTTCAAATGGTAAATTGTAAATATATTCATTGGAAAAAGACGATTTATAACTTTTTGTAAACTAGGAAAACTTGATGGGTACTAGTTTAAAATTTATTAGTCCCAGTATGGCGCGTTTAAAATAGGAACTTTAGTTATTAGTCAGAATTTCCATTTTACCCTAATATGTTCAAAAATTCTCATGTCAGAAACTAAAAAAACTTTCTAGTTTCTGCCTAGTTTCTGCCTAGTTTAATGCCCTCATTTCCCCAGTTCAGTCATTTTAAAGTAGACACTTGTAGAAAATCACATTTACCCCTATGTTTAAAATTGATGTTCAAAATAATTTTTCTATGCAGAAACCAAAAAAACTTGCTAGATCCTAGTTCAGGGTTGCCACAAATATTTAATTTTGTTTCTGATTTCCAGACAAAATTTTGACTTTTTCCCTGACTATAAAGAATATTCTGATTCACTCTAAAAATTATTAGATACTCAAAAATATATTTTATTAAATTTACAAATTTCTTTAAATGTAAAATTATTCGAAAACATCAATAACTTTTAATAAATAAGGTTGAACAAAAAGAAATATTAATTATACATTCAAACAAAATTACTCTATTTTGTTCAATGAAACTAAATTCAAAACATGAAGAAATAGATCATTCCGAGTCTTCGACTCGGAGTAATCGATTTCTTCATGTTTTGTAATAATTTAGATTATCATAAAATTTTTCAAAAAAAATTTAATTATTTTAAAAAATCCTAATAAAATCCTTTGCAAGAATTCAATTATTTTTAGAAGTACTAAAACTTCTGAAAAGAATTCAATTATTTTTTAAAAAATGTAATAAAATTCGTTGCAAGAATTTAATTATTTGAATAAATAATAAATCGATTATTCGGAAATTCATTTTGAAATCAATTTTTATTAGAAAATTCTTCGAAAATTCAATTATTTAAATTCAAAAATAAATAATTTATTGAATAGTTGAATTTTTGTTAAAATTGAATTCTCGTAAAGAATGTTAGCAACAAATTTTGAAATAATTGAATTCTTTTGACGAATTTTAATAAAATTTTTAAGAATAATTACATTTTTCGTGAAACTCGATTAAAATTGTATAAAAAATAATTAATAAATAAAAATAATTGAAATCCTGCAATGAGTTTTATGAAAATTGACTTTTATTATCGGTTTTTTTTTATTAAGGGCTTAGCCCGTGTAAGAATCTTAAATAAATAAATTACTGAGAACAGTTTAATAATTTTTAAAAATAATTGAATTACTGCAAAAAAAATTATAAAAAATTTGTAAATAATTGAAATTATGGGAAATTTTTATTATTTATAAAAAAAAATTTGTTTGCGTAGAATTCTATTAAAATTTTTTTAAATAATATTTCATCGAAGATGTTTGCTATTTATAAAGATAATTGAAATCATGACGAGAATTTTTTTTTGACTTTTGGAAATAATTGAATTTTTGAAAAGAATTTTCTAACTCTTGAAAATAATTTTATTCTCGTGATTAATATTGTTATTTATGAAAATAATTGAATTTTGCAAAGAATTTTATTAAAATTCTTTAAAACAATTGAATTTTGGCGAAGAAATTTATCTAGATAATTGATTTCTTTCTAAGAATTGCATTAAAATTTTGTAAATAATATTAAATATACAATATTAAAAAATTCAACTAATTTCAACAGAATTGAAATTAAAATTGTATTAAAAATAATTGAAATTCTGCGATGAGTTTTATTATTTATGAAAATAATTGAATTATTGAGAAGAAATTTATAAACAATTGTAAATATAATTGAATTCCTGTGAAATTTTTATTATTCATGGAAATAATTAAATGTTTGCTTAGAATTTTATTAAGATTTTTTTCTAAATAATTGAATTCCTTTGGAAAATTTTATTAAAATTGATATTTAAAATCATTGAATTGTGGAAAATTTTTGAAAATAATTAAAATTTGGACAAGAATTTTATTAAAATTTTTGAAAATAATTAAATTGCGGAGAAGAATTTTATTATTTATAAAGATACTTGAAATTTTGACAAGAATTTTTAATATTTTTTGAACATAATTAAATTTATGTGAAGAATTTTATTACTTTTTAAAATAATTGAATTTCTGCAATTTGTAACTTCTTCAAAATTCAATTTTTTCTAGTTTTTTTAACTAAAATTCTTCTATAAATCCATAATTTTTAATAATTAATTAAATATGTATTAAAAAATGTAACTAATTTCAGAAGAATTTGAATTATTAAAATTTTTTTGAAAAACTAAGTTCTTTAAAATTTTTAATCAAATTCATTCAAAATTCAGAGTTTTCTTATGAATTTTAAAAATTCAATTTTTTCAGTACTTTTACTAAAAATCCCTGACTTTTCCCTGATTTCCCTGACCATTTTGGATTTTATAATTCAGGTACAAAAAATTTTTTTGACGTTTTAATCTCGCAAAAAGGTTTTTTAAACCAAAGTGTAAAGAGGATAAATTTAGGGTTTAAAAGGATCATTGTCAAAAACTAGGAAAACTAGTTTCAGCCTTACTGAAATTTTCTTTCCCGTATATAGAGTAAATTGAGAAAATTTCTGCACATATTTTAAGTAGGAGAAAGTGGTACGACTTCTGCACGAGATTTAATGATTCATTACAGTTTAAGTTGTTGGTTGCGTTAATTATTGTCGCCTTTAAATCATTACAGCTTTATAGGTGTCTGGTATATCAATTAATATTATTCTCAAATAGTTTCGCTCACTAATAGTAGTAATTAATATCACCTTTATTCATTATAGTCCCAATTAATAGTAGTTGCAATTAACATTGCATTTTATTTCTTTCACGAGGCTAATATTATCAATTAATATATTTAGTTTAATCTATTCTAATTTCAGTATAGCTAATAGTGTTAATTAATTTTACACGCCGCGTATAGTTTTAATTTTCATCCGCATATTTTAATTTCCAGTGTATTTTAATTTTTAGTATATAGTTGTTTTTGATTACTCTTCATTAATTACAGATTTTTTGCAAATTAAATTTAACTAGAACAAGGAAGCAATTTTTAAGCAAATTTGATTGAATTTGAAAATTTACTTCGCCATATTGGATTTATTTTGAATTTTAAAAAACTGACATCGGATTCGTAATCAGTGACCCCAAAAATTTCCGACTAATAATTTTCAAGCAAATTTGATTAAATTCTAATTTTTTTAATTTTATTACCATTTTGTGTCCGCTATTTTGTTTCC